GTATATAGTCTTTTTACATAGAATAGTTATTAGGTAATTTTAATATGGATATTCATATTTTTATTGTTTTTACTGTTGCATTTTAATTGTGAGCCACCCAGAGTAGCCCTCTGTGGGAGATGGGCGGCGTATAAATTTAATAAATAAAAATATATAAAGAAGTGACTTCCAACCATCATCACAAACAAATTTAGTAACTCTTCACCCCCTATAAGGTTACACAGAGATATCTCTTTGTCCTATATCCCATCCCTTATCTATAAGCAAATCTATAAAACATCAACTTTTCAATTCTGTGTGAGCAAAAAGCATTGCCAGAACTTTATTTTAAATCTTATTTCTTATTTTAACCTTATCAAATAAATCAGTTTTATATTCCTTTTATTTCTAACAGTCTTAATCTTTAATCCAGTCAAATATTGTCATAGGATTTGATTTCAATTCTTTGTCTCATTGTGAAAATTTCTTCAAGGCTTCTAAGAAGCCTCTTTTGTAGATAATAAAATATTTTCCAGATCATTCTCTTGGTTTATCATTTGTATTTCCCTTTTAATTTTTAAGACTTTAGCCAGTTTCTTTTGTATGTCCAGTAAAGCGTCCTTTTCCAAATTGTTCTCTTGGCCTATCATTTGTAGTTCCACTTTTGGTATTTTTTCTCATATAACATTTGTTCCACATCTATCATTCCTTCATTAACTTCTTTTGGACATAGTCTATCCATAGAAGCTGACATTATTGCTGACACTGTTGATATTGTAGTTACTAATTTCTGGCTTCATTCTTCAAAGACCCAGTATTAACTGATAGCAAGAACAGGCTTGTATTTGTTTTCCTTCTGCTTAGAAAAATCAATATTCCAAATTTATTTGGACCCTTAATCCATTTATAACTTTCTTAGATCAAAATCTTATTTAGCTTTTTGCTGCTTATTTCAAGTTCTTTAAGTTCTTAAGCTTACAATGAATTTTTCTTTTTGTTCAGAGTTGAAGATAAACTCATCTGATGAAGACTTTTTAAACTTGTCATTCTGAAGGTCTCTAATAGCTTTAAGATGGTTCATAGACAATTTCTGAAAGTGATTAGAAAATGAGGCTTGCAAACTTAGTGTCCTTTAAAAGGCTGTGCCGCAGTTGCAAGCAAGATGGCTGATCCCTTTGTATCCCTGTGCTCAAATTCGTGTAAAACTGCTGTTCTGCGGTCTCCTTGCAAGGAGCAGCTGTCCAGAGCACATGTGGGTGATCTCCCATCCTCTCCTTATCTGGGGAGGTTCCGAGGAGCCAGTCTACTCCCTGATTCCTTGGTCTTTGCTGTAGTCATCAGCTCCACTTTTATGGAGATGTCTTCAGTTCACCATACCTCCCCAAGAAGTCCGGTAATTGTGAACTTAAATGATCCTTAAAGATGAGATTTAACTCCTGGTGCATTCATGGATGCAGCCTTGTCATTTTCTCAGCCACAGTGTACAACTAGCCTGCTATTGCCACTTTGTGAAATTTTTTACTTTCCAGTTTGGCCAACAGCCCTGTGATTCCTTGGTGGTTTCCATCCAAGTATCAGCCAGGTTCCACCCTACTTAGCTTTGTTGGTCTGCCTTGATCAGCTAAATGCTGCTATTTCCTCTAGGGAGTTTTCCCACAAATCAGCTTTCCTTGAATGCTGATGCACTTTCTCCTATGGGTGTTCCTATCAGTGCAAGAAGTGCATTTTTCTGCTACTGTCCTGAACCTGTTTGTTTTCCTATTGGTAATGAAAACTTTAGAGTGAGTCAGCTTTAATTATGCAAATATATGTGCATACATGTATATATGCACAAGTTTGTAGTTCCAGTTAGCAGTGTTTCATATGCAGTGAGAAAGCAGTTGATTTTTTCTAATTTATCTGCTTTGCCTTTGAAATTCATAGTCAGCGTAGGTGGCCTGTATTGTAGCCAGCATTGGCTGATGGAAGCACTTTGCATCTGTGCCACAGGTCCTAAACTAGTTACCAGTAGGCTTTAGGTGCAATTTAAAGTGCTGGTTTTAACTTTAGAGCCTTTTATGGCTTAGCATCAAGTTATTGTCAGGACCGTTTTCTCCCATCAGACTCACCCCAACCAATTCAGTCTAGCTGGGAAAAACTGCTGGTGGTTATCCACTTTAGGGAGACGAAGGGGCCTGATGGTCTAAAGCAGTGCCTAATAAGCAGCACCAACCTTCTGAAATGGCCTCCCAGTGAAATTTAGATGTGATCCCAGTTTGACTGCCTTCCAGAAGGAACTGAAAATGCAGCTCTTCCAGAGGGATGTTGCTGTGGAGATTATGTATTGATGGCTGCTGGATTACTGTACTGGGGTGGAGGTTTTTGCTTATGTTTTAACTGTGTTACTTATTGGTATAATTTTTGTATTGAGAACCACTGAGAATCCTCTGGGATTGCAGCAGGATATAAATATCATAAATAAAATAAACAAGGATTGTAATGTGGATTCTTCATACCTCTATACTAGCATAGTTTGTTTGACTCAGAACCAAATATTCAAGAATAACTCCTGTGTAAGTTTTGGTTGTGCTCCAGCTATATCCTAATATACCATTGGAGTGCTAGAGCAGAAAGAGCTGAATGACTGACTTTCCATTTATCTTACTAGCACTACCTCTTTGGCTTCTGCAGACTTTAAGTACATTCAGAGATCCTTATCAATCATTCTATTCCTTTGTTCTAACATCCCATAGTTTTTTCTTTAACTTCAGTATCAGGTAGAAGAAATTTTTTGCTTTGCTAAAATCTTCAGCTATCCAAAATGACCATTATCAGAACTGAGAAATAATTAAATTACTTACGAATGCATGGATCTTTGTGAAGCATTATCTGTGCTAATACATATATTCAAGAATTTTTAAAAAGTAATTCTCATAGAAAATAGTGAAGCAGGAATTTCAGTTATCTATTTTGTTTTTCAATTATTGTTAGCAAGTAATAAAAACTGTATTTGCATTTGACTTTTAAAAATTACTTTAGAGTATAACCTTTTATTTAATTTCCCATATGGCTGAAAAAAGTTGAAGCAGTTATGCATAATGGCAGTTTATCTGCCTTATCAAAAGAAAGATAGATCTGATACTATGGAGAACAAGAAAAGAAGGCATTCGTTTCTCTAGACTTAGTTTTATGATTGCATTGGTATTCCTTGAAATAATATGCTGCCAGTTCATTTATATTAACTTTGGACATTTGTAATTGCCAAGGTAACATAGTTTAATACCATCATCATCCATTAGACCTTCATCTAACTCCAAGACAGAATATACAGAGTTTTGTTCAAAGATGGCCAGTAATAGAAGAATGATAGATGTGATAAGAAGTCAGGTAAATTAAGAACAAATTGCTGGGACAAATCAATACTGTCATGGACAAGGTGGAGGTCAGGAGCTTCATTAGATAGATGAAGATCAAAGACAAGTACGAAATTGAAATGAAGCAGAAAGGTGAATTCCAAGAAAGCACTAGATATTTGGAGGAACCAGAAGCAAATGCAACTCCAAACTATGCAAGAATCACAACCTGCAGCATGAAGAATCTTCACAATTAAGACAAATAAGATGCTTACAAAGTCAGATATGCTTGTAAGCTTGGAAAGTTGTCTTATAATGAACTGATCATGAAGTGCAAAGAGTAAAGGTATATTTGAGAATTGATTTTATATTTTAAATAGGCCTCTTCCAAAGTATGACTTTGTTTATCGTCTTCCTTCTTCATTATCTGTTGTGCAGTTTGGAGGGATGGTAAGATAACAGCCCCAAGCAAAATAGGAAGAACCTAGCAACAAGTAGCATTTAGACCAAAATAAGTTTGTATATCAACATATTTTAGATTTTGAATTTATACTGTAAAAATTTGGAATTATATTTAAAATTGGAGCTGTAGAGATCTGTGAAGGTTTCTCAATATCAGATGCTTTTTTCATAGATTTTGCTGGAACTCTTCCCAGAAAAATATTTGCTTTAGAAAGCTTTCCATGTGGCCACTGTTTTCTTTGAGAAAGTTCTTTGCTTGTACATGTGACAGTGTATTTTCTTGGGAAAAACTTCTATGCTATGGTGTGATATATCCTTTGCTGTTATTAATAGTGGCTGCTACCCAAAAAGGGTTTTTTTTTAGATTTACAGTAGTTATACAGTACAGTTTTTTCCTTCTTGCTCCTCATTCATACCACAAACTTTTTTCATGTATCCTCAGATTGCCATATCGCAGGGAAGTTTCTCTGTGAAAGAAAAACATGACTAAATTCCTTTAGACTTCCTGAATTTTTTGATATTTAATTGCTTTTATGAAGATATCTTAGCTTCCATGTAATCTTATAAAAGGTGTGAAATAATAAAAATCGTTTCTTTATGCTTCAATTTGTATCCATTAGCCTGCATTAATACTTCTTCTAAAAAACAGCCACTACTGTATACAACATAATTTTTCAGCAGTTTATATTTCATTTTTAGTAATGCATACAGTATTGAAAAATCTACCCTTCTGTCTAAATGGTGTTTGCTTAACTAAGGAAAACTGTTTTAGTTTTACTAAGTGATTTTACTCTTCTCCTAAGCTAAAGCCTGTCCAAAGTACTTCTACTCATTCCTCCCCTCATATTGCGTGTGTGTGATTGAGAAAGAAAGAGACAAAGGAATGCAGGGAGAAGTGAAAAAGATTCAACTTCCTGTCTATCTTTCCTCATGTCTTCTTGCATTTAAGAGCTTAGTAGGAGTCTTGATTGGCTTAAGAGACCATGGTTAATCATATCATGTGCACCTAATGAATTACATGTCTCACTAAGATTCAGAAGCATTGACAATGTTCCATCATAGCTTTGGGGGCAATTCTTTCTATTGCTTTGCATTTAATTCCTTTTATACTAATTCACCTGTTGAGTATACGAGATTTAAGATTGGGAGAAAGGAATAAAACCTAATGCCTTTGCAAACTACATAAGTATTTTTAAAGGACTTTTCTTATAATGGATTTTCTTTTTGTGTTGTAGAATTCTGAGCAACAATAAGATATCTGGTTTGAAGAATGGTTCCTTTGCTGGACTAAGCCTTCTGGAACGATTGTAAGTTTTTACAATTACATGGCTTAGTATTCTTAAAGTAAAATTCTCCTGCCTTTAATATATATTTAATTAAATTTGGTCAAACATAAGATATTCCAGCAGTAGTACTTTAGTGAGTAAGTTTCCTACTAGGCATATAACAAGTAATTAATCGCTTCAGAAAGTGATACCCAAAAGAGTTTGGGTGAATAATTCCAAAAATGTTTGGGAAAGCATGTTATACAATGCATGCTTACTTATATACAAGCCATATATACATACAGCGGTGAGGGAAAGATTGTGAACCCTTTAGAACTATCTGCTGTCCTGTGACCTATAATTTGATCTGAGCTTCATCTAAGTCCTTTTACTAAGCAAATAGATTTTGGTTAAACAGACTGAACCAAAAACTCTGTTCTACCAGGTTTATGGAAATGTATAATGCTCCAGTTAAGACATCTCTGTGGAAAAAAGATTGTTGATGCTCATGAGATTGGAAACTATTGCCAAAGGGTTTGATATCCATCAGTCTAGTCAGGCAGATACTGTATAAATGGAGAAAGTCCAGCAGCATTTGTTATTCTTTCCAGTAGTGGTTGTCTGACAAAAGCTCAAGAGAAGGCATATGGTCCTCTGGAAAATTGCAAAGAATGTGCAGGCTACTCTTACATTGTCTGATGTCAGTGTTCATGAGACCACCTTAAGGAAAACAACAAACAAAGGGGGTATGAATGGGAAGATATCAGTGAGGAAACCATTGCCTTCCAGAATGCACATTGCCACTCATCTCATCTTTGCAAAAGACCACCTGAATAATCCAGCAGGCTGTTGGAATGGAATGGAACTTTCTGGCATTAATATGAAACATTATTTGCAGAAATCAAAACTCTCAGTTACAAGGAAAGGAATCCTATTTTGGAGCTGCTTTGCAGACTTTGGACCTAGGTGACTTGAGCTCAGAAATGGTACAGTGGATTCTGGATTCTTTTGCCAAGTTTATCTGTCGATGAGCTGAATCTTAAATTAATCTGGAGTGTGGGGTATACCAACAATCCTAAGTAAATCTAAAACAGAATGGCTGAAACAGAAAATTTCACATTTTGGAACAGCCAAGCAAAACCTTAAAATACTTCCAAGGTGATGTATGGGATTCATCAACAGATATAATTTTTTGCAGAAGTTGCTGCTGTTGAAGGAGGTGTCACTAAAACTACACAGGATTTTCCCAACAAAGATTGGATGTTGGCTCAGTGTCTTCAATAAAGGCATGACACGATACCCAATTTTGGGTGCTCTTTGTTTAACCAGAATCTCTTTTTCTATAAATAGGACTCAGATAAAGCTCAGATCTCATTGTTGATCTCACAGCATTGCAGAATATGAGGTTCACAGACTTTCACTTACCACTATGTAGGTATGCTTTCAGTTTTAGTTTCCCATTTTCAGTGGCAAAATACAACTAAGTTGCATCTCTGCCAAAGATATCTGCTGTATTGATAGAAGCCTTTGGAATGTGCATGGGGAGACTTTAATTGCATTGATTCTTTAGTTCAAGGGTTCTTTTGAGTTCCTCTTAATTATATACTGACCCAAAGAGATGGTGCAGACATATTAATGAAGCCAAAGCAGATGGGTGGGAGAAATGATACTGCCAAATGAATAAGGTACAAGTGGACTGTCTGCAGTAGTATCTCCAGCAGGTCATCTTGATAATGAAGGTAGCTGATATAGGTTAGGAGATGTGCTAACTTACATCTGAAGTGGTCTAACATCAATATGGCTTATTGAGCCTATCTCAGTACAGGTCCAGAGGACTACCTGTATCATATCCACACAACTTCAGAACTAATAAGCATAGCAATTAAAGGGGGAGGGGGGAAGAAAATAAAAAATAGTAACTTTTTAAACTTTATTTATTTATTATTAAAATTGTATGCCGCCCATCTCCCCCAACGGGTGACTCTGGGCGGCTCACAATAACAAAAATGGAAAAAACATAATACTGCCAGTTAAGTCTCTTCTCTGTTTGGTTATTTTTTTGTTTGCTTCCACTTCTGCTGTTACAAGTAACAATTCTCAGTTTAATAATTCTAGAGGTCACCTTAGGCAGATTAAAGTTGATTAAGTTGGAAAGGTCAAAACTAGCCTAAAGCATTTGTGCCAAATACCAAGGTTCAAGGAGCTTTTCACCTTAAATAATTATTTTGAACTCATGCTGAAAGAAGCAAAAAGATAGCTGAATTAGTTGATAAATTCTAGGAAATGTATTTGTATTTTTTTTCTTTTAATTTTCAAGTCAAGTTGTAGCTTGGAGCTATGAGTTTTACTCTTGTTAGTACATACTTTGCCTTTGCAAATTTAGTTTACTGAAATGGGATGGTAGTCTGAAAATTTCAAAGGTATTGGAAGCTTGCACATTATATGATTGTTGCATTCATTTGGAATGAATAAAGAGTAAAGGTGATCTTTTATCTTGACTTTTGACCATCATCCTTTGATGATGGGTATTTAAGAAAGGTAGCAGACTATCAACAGATAACATTACTAGTAGTATTGTTCATTCAATATTTAACTATGTGTTACTAAAATTTAAAGTATGTGTTATTAACAATAAAGTTAAGAATTGATACCTGCCTTTTGGATAAGCTAAAAATAGAAGGTTATAGAGAATAATCTGCTTTAGTCTCTCTTGCTGAGATCAAAAGTCAGAACGAGCCTGGTAGGTTCTTCAGTGACTTAACACATTTTATTCAAAGGCATAGGCTTTCATGAGTGATCACTTCATCAGATGCATGGAGTGGGTAGACTGATGTAGGATCTGAACTGGGATGAAAGGAAGGGAGGGAAAGACAGTTGGTTATACAGATGCAGGCTAGATATGAGACTGATTGACAGTGCCTTATAAATTTAAGAGTTATAATGTGTTAAAAACCTATTCAGCAAAGTAATAGCATTTCAACCTCCTAGGATGTTGTATTGCAGATCCAGAAGTCTTGAAAACAAGACTTTATAATAGCACCATTGAGCAAGAGATTGCTGAATTCACATAACATCAAAAGGTTTCAGGCCATTTCAAATTATCTCAACAATGCCTCTCCTGCCTCATCCCAATTAAATCATTCTAACCAGTCTTTACATCTGATGAAGTGAGCTGCAGCTCCTGGGTCCTTTTGCTGTTTAATTACAATTTGTTAGAAAAAGTGCTACCAGATGACTCTGGATTTTTTGCTGTTGGAGATTAATGTTGCTTTCTTCCTACAATGAGATCAAAGGTGTATTTGTTGTTGAGGCCAAAGGTGAAAGGTACTTAGCTGACTCAAAAACACAACCATTCCCAGTAAGGGTCATCCAAATGTCTTTTGGCACTAGAGCTTGTAATCAAAGGCTAGCTTATGACTGGAACTGTGAATCAGTTAACTTTCTGAATGGAATCATTTGGCCAGATTCTTTAACTCAGACAAAGGCCTCATATTGGCAGTAATGCCTTGACAAGCAGTTGCAAAACTCAGCATATTAATGTAGTGGAATGTTTGAATATTCTAAAGCACTGTATGAATCCTAAGTAATTATAAAGTCAGTATAATGACTTTCTCTAATATTTATGAATCTTGAATACTGGAGTTAGTGTTTTTTTTTCTTTTCTGTTTATTCACCAAGTCATAAATGGCTGTAAATGATTCTATTATGCTTTTAAGAGAAATGCCAATTTTGGCTTTTGTTTTTTCTTTTACATTCCTAGCAATTAGACTACATAAGTAGTCATTAGAATAATAGGCGGAAACAAAGTATTATGTAATTAAAGACTGTATGTGTTTTTAGGAAAGGAATCAGAACGCATATTTTAAAATTAATGCTATATTCTTACTGTATGCTGAAAATGTAGAGCATTCTCTCCTGGCTGAATGAATAAATAAAGGTCCACAGCTTTTTGGTCATTACACAGTATAGTGATTATACATATTTGCCATCCAGTTTTCTCCCTAAAGTTGTTCTTTGTTATAATTAATTGCTTTACTTATACCTGTGGATACACCCTCACATATATACCAACTTTTCTTTATGCAATACCTTTATGTATTATAGCTTTATGTAATGTAGTTTAGTAGCTTTATGTAACGTAGTTTTATACTACATTATATGATTGTGTTAACTTGATAGTTACACTCATTTGTAGCAGCTATTAAGAAGCTAAAACCTGAGACATTTTTGCATACAAGATATGTTCACTGCCAAGAGCCATGTCCCTATCTTTGAAAGGTGCTTGGGCTAATGATTCAACCATTTCCCAATTTACTTTCAGCTCAAATACAACATTTTTCTCAGAATTACAAGGATATGCACAAGTAAATAGATTAGTCCTGATTTATGACATAGATAAGAGCCATTTTTAACATAGGTTAAGGTTAGATGCTTAAACCTTTTCAAATAAGTAATCATAAGTATGTATAATATTGTGTAAAACTGTAGTTGATGAATATCAGTGTGGCATCTTGCAAATGTTAGTGATGCTGATTATCATGTCATAGCTAGTAACTGCATATTGAAAGGTTTTCATTAATTAATTGCTTGAATGCATGTTGTTTTACTTAATAGTTTGCTCAAGTGAGAATTGACTGTAATATATTTCAGGTACTACACTTATTAGTGCAAGACTTCAGTGATACAGTGGTGTGTTTTTATAGAAGTGTATAAGCAGTGCTATCGTATATTCAGATAATTGCTTTAGTATGAAATCAGTGATTATCTAAAGGGATTAGCATCTAGTTTCAGTGTAGGATTGCTTTGTGATAAGGAAGATAAGAACTTTTGACACAGAGCCACAACTATTTCCCACCTTGGGCATCTTGCATGTCCCATGTGCAGAGTTCCAGAGAAGCTTATTTTCTGCCAGGTGCCAAACAGTATCCACAGGTAGCTATGTTTGGTAATGCTGCCAGTTACTCATTTCAGTTAATAACACAGTACTCTTCATTGTTATTTTGCAGCTGTTTAGAACTCATTTCCCTACTATAAATATTTCTCATGACAGTTTCACACTCGATGGTCAGCCTTGCTCATGATCTTATCAAAAATCTTATCATTGGTCACTGTATGATACATAAAGAACCCCAAGAGATCCTAGAGTACTTGGAGTAATGGTTCAGAAAAGAAGTCTGTGGTGGCCGTCATCCTATACTTGAAAGGATATTCCTATAACATTTTAAACTTTGATTTTTAATCAATCACAACTTCATAATTATGCAGTTTCTCAGAGTTTTTATGATGTTAATCAAATACTGCCATGTTGAGATTTGGGGAAAAAGGGAATGCCAGATATGACTTGGATGACTAAGAGAATAACCACTTACCATCTAGCAACAGTTTGCTCTGCAGTAATTGATAGGTATGTGTATTCTATAGGTCTTCTCAAACTGTATAATTTTTTTCAAGGTAAGAGTAAAAAAGAATTATTCCCTATTTAAGGTCTAAATGTTGCGTTTAGCATTTAAACATGATCCGTTTCTTTGTCCCATGATATTGTTGACCTGTCACTTTTCTTAATTAAGCCTTAGCATATGACTGTATTTTAGCTAAGAGGATAAAGGTTGTTCTGGATTGTCCTATTGGAATCCTCCTTCATGTGGGAAGCTTCTCTGTAGGGAAGAATTGTATTTTTTCTTGACTTGTTCTGGATGTATCATTTAGGAACATCTTAATTATAAATGAGGCTTCAGGCAAAATTGGCTTTTTTAAAGCAGACATCAGTGAGTAACCAAGGTGAAAAGATACCACATTTGCACCATTATTTAGATAAAACACCCCTCCCCCATATAAAGTCACGATTGAGTTTGGGGGGGAAAAAAGAGTCACAAGGTTACTTTTGTTAATATATTTCTATGCATTACACTTTTCTCTTTAAACAGAGATCTTAAGAACAATCTCATAAGTGTGATAGATCCAGGAGCTTTTCTAGGACTTACATCTCTGAAAAGACTGTAAGTATTAACCCTTATTAACTTGGGCATAAATGAAATGTTACAAGAGAGAGTTGGGGTAGCTTTAAGCCGCAAGCACAACTTGTAATGGCTAGTTACCTTTACTTCAATCAAAACCATTTCCTGTTTTAGAATATTGTGTATAGACAGTGTTCTTTGGTCTCCTGCTTATGATTCCAGATTTTTCCAGAAATGTATAGAACCAGCCTTTCTTAACTGGAGTTCTGCAAGAGATTATGATTTGGGGATATTTTTTTTTTTAAACTTTGCACACAGTGCTCACAGTGTTGGGGAATTTTTTTTACATGCTGTGACTCAACTGCCAACCCGCCACTTTGCTCTTATTGTAAACATGGTAAAGCGTGGATTGCGTAAGTTAGAAATTAATTGTGAAGTTTCTGTATTTTTTTGTGATTTTTATGCAGGTATTCCCTGAAACTGAACATTATTTCAGTGGTTCCTCCAGGGTAAAAAGGTTTATAAAGGCTGATGTTAACATATTTTTAAGAAATGTTTCAACTCTCTATGTACTTAATGGAGAATAAACTTAGCTGGCATGTAGGATTCCTGTAAATCTGATTTCTTAAATGACAATATATTCATCAGTCTTTTCCATTAAGTAGAATTACTCTGGGAATGTTTCTTGAGTTGGTGCCTTACTTCTGGTTGCTGAATTGCTTTATCGGTGTTGTCTAAAGTTGTGCACCAGTAGCATCCTGCTTCAGTTATCCAGTGATTGTAATTACCAGTAATCATCTGGCATGGACAGATTCCCTCTGGAACTAATGTTATAATGCAGAGAGGATGGGGGTGGGGTGGTAAGAACAGGAAATGAGGTTGCATGAGGCTGAGTTTCACTGAAACTATACTGATTTGATAATTTTGATGAGGGTATATATTGTATATGTAACAGATTTTCATATCCTTTCCCTCTTTTAACAGAGATTTAACAAATAACCAAATAGGATGCCTGAATGCAGATATTTTTAAAGGATTAACAAATCTCATTAGACTGTAAGTGTTATTTTGATGTATTTGTTATTCATAAAAATATGCATATTTTCTTCAATTATAAACTGGTATTCAATATCATGCAGCTTGCATAGTTGTACATTATTGGGTGTTTATATTACTTTTGGACTGTGAGTATTGTAAGTCCTATAGGAAGAACTTTGGAAGGAATATTTTATAGTGAAGGCCCAGTTTAATATACCTCATAATGGGGAACAAAATGTTTAAAGCAAAATGTTTGTTAAATAAAAAGGTGGAAAAGGATGAAAAATGGTGTGAGTACATGTAAAGAGAAGCCACCTAGTTATTTTTTTTTCTGGCTTGAGAAAAAAGAGGCCCCCTCACGTGGACTGGAGAATATCTGGAGAGGCTTTCACTTTTGGAAAGTGGAAAGACAGCACCAACAAGGGCCCCTGGTCTCATCTCTCCTTTCTCCAAGCTCAAAAGGAAAAATGCAGGCAACATTACAGGATTGTCCAGGAGAAAAAAAGAATTAACTCATGTGCAGAGATTATACTTGTCCAAGCAGACTTCAGAATAAATTTACTTGTCCGTTATTTGGGGGGTAAGTTTGAATGTAAATTTGGTCGGTTGCAGTGCAAGTCAATTAAATAGGTGCCTGTTA